CAATATTTATACAATTTCTTTAGTGAAAAAGATGCATTTTTGTCTTTTATAACTTGTCAAAGATTTGAAGGCTATCTTCAAAAATTAATTCTTTTTTTATCCTTGGAAGCCCTGGTAAAAGACTTGAATCTTGTGTTCAGGAAAAGTTTTTGAATCCTGTTAAAGAATAAGATTGTTTCTGTTGCATCTAAAAATGATTGTTCATTTGAGTGTTATTTTTCCATGAGACCTTGACATTGATAAAAAACTGGAAAACTTGGAAGTCATTAATAATATGGCTAATGAACACAGAATAGACTGAAAAGTATATATCACAATTAATTGGAAATTAGGGTGACAGTATTTTGAAATACATTTTGAACAGGTCTATAAGTTGGGAAAGCTTGTGACTAAAAATGAACCATTCTGATTATAAGGTATCAAAATTTATTGTGGATCTAAATTTTTGTGAAGAAACGTGGGAAATTTTTAACAGTTGGTGAAGAAATAATACAAGGAATTTAAACATTTGAACAAGTAGTAGCATGTTAATAAATTATAAACAAAATTCTAAAGATGTGCTTGAAATATTTTAAAGATTCCTTAAAGAGTATATTAGCAGTATACAGAAAAATGTGAAAAATAAATGAATTGATGGGAGTATTTTTAATACAAAAATTTAAAAGTACGATTGATGATTTAAATCTAAACAGTTTGACAAATATTTCTATAAACAATAAAATTTTTTAAAGTAATAATTGTGTAAAGGATAAATGTTATACTTATCCTTACTATTTATTTATCTTCATCTGATATAATATAGTATTAAATCGTATCACTGATTATTATTTTGTTTTTTTTTAGGTTAGGTTAGGTGGTTAGGGTACTCAACTCGCAATCTGAGGGTCATGTGTTCGAATCCCTATCACACCAAACATGATTGCCCTTTCAGCTGTGCGGTTGTTATAATGTGATGGTCAATCCCACTATTAGTTCGTAAAAGAGTAGCCCAAGAGTTGTCGCTTGGTGGTGATGACTAACTGCCTTCCCTCTAGTCTTACACTGCTAAATTAGGGATGGCTAGTGCAGATAGCCCTCGTGTAGCTTTGAGCAAAATTATAAAAACAAAACAGTCTATATTATGAAGCTTCAGTAAAAATGATAAATTTAGTAGTTGAAATGTAACTAGTGTTAAATATAATGAGGTTTTAAAGTCTCACCAGTTATAAAGGTTCAACATCCAGTAATGTGAAAATAAAGCTTCAGTAATCAGATACAAACAAATTATTTCAGTTAGTTTATTTATGTCAGTCATTGCTGATTGCACATGTATAGCTTGTAAAATGTTTATTGTTAACATAAATTCATTCTTTTATAGTAATTCTGTTATTTTCATTGTATGTAACTCTAGATACTGTTTGTGCTATTGTTGATTTTTATCATAAATTTATTTCTAGAATATGCAAAAGATTCATTAAGAAAAACATTACTCAAGAAGTTCGATCCAGATGATGCATCCTGGGATGCTTTTCTTCCTGTGAGTTAACTTTAGTTTTTCATCTA